CCAACTATTATAATAGCCTGCAGCTATTGGCATAGAATCGTGAGTTTCGAGCTGAAAGGCCACTTTAATTCCCCAATTCAAGCCTGTCACAGAGGCTGATTATGTGGGTAGAAATGGCTGCTGCCTTCAGCCCCAGCTTCATCCATCCCTAAAGAAAACCCAATTATAGTTCTTAAATTATCCAGCAAGCTTTACAACAAAGTTAATAAAAGGCTGTGTGTGTGTGTGTTTGTGTGTGTGTGTGTGTGTGTGTGAGAGAGAGAGAGAGAGAGAGAGAGAGAGATGGAGAGAGAGAGAGAGAGAGAGAGAGAGAGAGAGAGAGAGAGAGAGAGAGAGAGAGATGTTCACTAGGGCTATCTCATTTCGTGAGGGATACTTCTGTGAGTGATACTTGTATGTCAAGCCTCCAGGACACAACTGAACTCTGAATGGTGTTCCCAATGAAGACTAGGTTAGATTGCAGGTAGTTTCAATTGCTTTTCCTTTCCTGAGTATGGGAAATCACCTTTCATTTTACTTATTTCCTTGGGGGTGTTACCAACAGTCTTATTAGCTGTGTTGAAGAATAGGTTTTCCCATCATATTCATTGTGTCCAAAGTAAAGCTGAGTAGGGCAGGTGATTTTATTCTGAAAAAATATATATATATTGGACAAAAGATCTTGGCCTGCAGTTGAGCACTACATGGAATTTCCCTTGTGGAGAGCCTGCATCTACAGTCATTTGAAGTTCAAGCAACATTGTGAGGGTGAATGGCAGACACACTGTGGATACACTTATGGTTCTCAAGCAAAGGTTACATCTAGTGCCTTCAGAATAGGGAACCCCCTCAGAGGCAGAGGTGGCCCTTTGGTATATGGTTCACAGAGATGTCTAAGGAGACTCACAGTCAAATAACAGATTGTGGATATCAGGGAGTGGTATGTGGAGGGATGGATCAGGGTCCCCTTTGGGGGATATTAGTCCCATTAGAAAAAGAATCTACCATTGAATCAACAGAAACAATAAGTCCATTTTATGAGAGTTTGAAAGAAAAAAATTCTCAGGGCAGGCAGCTGTAAATCTCAGCATCTGTATGGCAGAGGCAGTGAAGATGGTAGTGTGGGGGGCATGCGTTTTAAACCAGCATGGAGGTCAGACACATGGTGGACTAGTGGCTCCATGGCAGGGAAGGAGACTGTAGAGAAGAGAAAAGATATCCAATGTGTTAGGCAAAAAGGCCAGGAGTATTAAGGAAAACATGCATGCGTAGAAAAAAAGATTGAAAGGAAAGAGGGAAAAAGATACTTTTTGAAATAATCTAGGAAAGCAGATAGACATTTTCTATGGCTGTAGGTCATAAGCTTCTACACTGGGGTTGGATTCTAAGAAGGAAAACTTCACCACTTCATTATTTATTCTGCCCAAGTCCTTAGTATGGCCTAAGCTGAGTCCACATCCAAAGAGGTGACCCTTAGTTAAAGCAATTGACCACTCACCTGGAATATTAGGTCTCTACCAGGCCGGAGAGTCTAGTATCTTGACCAGGAAGTTTTTCTATTCTAGCTTAGATAGTTAAGTCTAGATTCTATACAAAAGAAAAAATGTACAAGATGTGTCTTTCTGAGCAGAGCTCATTTTCTTCATATCTGTTTTCCTGTGCAGGGCAGAACCCTTGCTCCTGAGACTGAGCTCTGCTTCTTCTAGACTACTTGTTCTCCACCCTACACTGTGCTCTTTTGCCCAACACATTGGATGTTCCTACTCTTCTTTAAAGCTTTTCCGCAACTCTTGCCCAAGGCCAAAGGTTCTTTGGAGATGTTTGAAGTTCTAGAATCTCTTCTAATTTGTGTTTTCTTACTGTAGATCACTGAGCATACTTCCGAGGCTCCTTAGAGACATTGAAGAATTACATTTGTAGTAATTTGTAAAGACATGTGAGGCCAACAGCTCAGCTTTAGTATTTTTTAAATTGCCATCCATAGACAGGTTCAATCATGTAATTTCAATGCTGTCTGTGAAGCATCTTCCTGATGCTGAAGATGAACAGGAGGACACACACTGGAATGTGTCCCCATAGAATCTGTCCCCATAGTATGCATGCATCTCAGCTCCTTTGTTCCATCCTCACAACCCCACTGCGAGCTGCACATAGTAATGTCCTCTTCTCAATGGCAGAATGCCTGAGATGCACATGTTAAGGAAAGGGTGCTTTCAGAGGTTCAAGGCAAGGTAACTTGGTCCAGTGTGCTGGGCCAGAACATCAAAGCTAGAGCATGTGGCAGAGGAACCTGGAAAGATGCCTCAGCAGTGTTTAGAGGACCTGAAAGTGGTTGAGCCACCTGCCCCTGTAGCTTCAGGGGATCCAACACTTCTAACCTCCACAGGCACCCACAAGCATGGTACATACTCATAGAGACACATGCATATTCATGATTAAAATCAATATATTTGAAAAAACAAGAAAGGAAAGCAGACTGGGGAACTCATGTAATCCTTGAACGTCAACCAAAATGCTGACTCTCTCTAGCCAGTTAGCCCTTCCCTGTAGTTTCCACAACTTCTCTTAATAGGCCATCAGCTGGAGACTGAGTTAAAACACATAAGCCTGTTTCATATTGAAACCATGACAAGCTAACAGTATTGTAAGCTAAAGCTGTATCTTAACACACAGGTCTGTGGAGCATCTCAGATTAGCATCACAACATACTGTCAAGTGTGGGTGGTTTCTCCTAGCAACCACAGAGTTGGATGGGAACGGAGGCTCCATGTCACTGCCCACAATCACAAGAGAGTATTGTGCCACTCACTAGCCCAAGAGAAAAACAAAATTAGGAACTGAAATTGTGGTATCTCTTCTACACCTTTTGAAATTAGTGTGTTCAATATCATGTCAGATAGAATTTCTTTAGACTTTTGGATTACCTTAATATAAATAATGTTGCAATTGACATACTCAAATACTTAGCTTTTTCTACCTTGAAATTATCCTCAGGACAGAGATTTCTGCAAACAGTATTGCTAGTGTAAGTAAGAATACAGTCTTCCCATGATGCTGACCAGATTGCTCTTGTGGGGTTATGGCCAATTATGTTGCCTTAAATGAGATAGCCAATGACCCATGGCCACTGCATACTGTCATCCTGAAGAGAAAGCATATCATATTAGTACCTCTCCAAATAAACCATTGATAATGAAATTCCATATTCCTTAATGTTTGGCAATTGTTCTTCAAGACCCTCTACAAAGAGAGTGTACAGATCCTTCAGATTACACCCAGCTTCTGTTGGATCTTTCCACAGGGCCTTCATAGGAATGCTGAGACCTTGAGGTCTCACTACCCAGCAGGTACTCAGATCTGCCTCATAGGTCTAAGCTTCTATCTGCCTCCCATTCTAATGCTGTGGCTTCATGCTTCATTCGATGAGTTTCCTTGTGGAATGCTCATTCATGTCCTCAGCCTGCTTGTGAGACTTTGGATTCATTTCTCCTATGGTCTTTCAAGTAGTTCATACAAAGACAGAAAGTCTTTGTATTTGATGCATCGCAGCCCAGAGTACTTTCCAATATTGTTTTTATGAATTTCAAGCCACACATTCACCTCCAATGGTGGAATGGACATTTTATATGCACACTGGATTCCACTTCACACTTTTGTGAGTCTGCCATCTCTTTTCCATTATCCTTCAGGGTTCTATTGTCTGTGAGAGGGTACCTAGGACTCCTGATCTTTCTAACAATGTTTGAGGGGCTTGCCTGGTCTCTGTGTTAATTACCTCTGTGCCACCGTGACATATTATCGGAAGTAAGCATCTTAGGGGAAAGGGTTTATTTTGGCTGATAGTTTTTGAGAATTCAGTTCATGATCGCCTAGACCCTTTGTGCTTAAAGGTGAAGAGAAGGTGTGGAGAAGGCAATATACTTCATGATGGATAGGAAGAAACATGCAAGGAAGGGACCTGTGTAAAGATAATCATGCACCAATGGCCATTCCTCTAGTTAGATCCCCATCTCCCAAACTTTCCACCACTGCCTCCCTACCTGATGACATTCAGCACAGGAGCCTGTACACTACATGGAAGGGAGACTAAGCAACTTCCTCCACAGTGTTTTCTCCAGTATATCACCTGTCTTTGAAAAGGGAGTCAGGATATTCCTGTATGCATTGGTAGCTCCAGAGTCAAAAGGACAGCAGCATGTAGGAAGTTTAGTTCTGAGACTAGCCAGTGTCATTTGTGATGTGTAGAGTAGCTCACATTCCTGATTCCTGGGTAAACTTGTAGCCGTAGCATGGGACCAGCACATGCCCTGATCCTAGAATCTTTACTCGAACATATTTATATATTTAAGACAAAGAATCACTCTAAAGCCAAAAATGGCCTTGGACTCACAAAGTTCCAATTGCCTCTATTTTTCATGCATCTATGAAAGGTGTGAACACCTATACCTAGTAGAACGTAATTGTTTTAATGATGAACTACAATGGTTATTATACCATTTATGCAAAGAGTAATTGCTAGCTTTGTGGTTCCACAGTTCTATATTTCTAGGCAAATAAAATGAAGAGGATTTCCTATATTATTTGTACTAAATTACTGAGTTAAACAAAACAAAGCATGGTTTGATCTGGAGGCATGGAGAACATCGGTGTGTCCTCTAAAATCAGAGACACACTGGGTCTGTGTTCATTCAGCATTTCAGACAGGTCTTTTTGTTATCACTTCGGTTAATTTCTAACTTAACTTACACATGTAATTTCTTGCCAATGTAATAAACCTTGTCAAATTCCTTTTGTGTGTGTGCCATGATTCTATGGATATGCACACTAAGTGGTTACTAAATGCATGTGATTTTAATTCTCCTCCTACTAGTTATTAGTTGACACATGCAGGATAAAAGAGACAGTTTTAGACACTTATACCCTTAGTAGCTGACTGCAATTACGTTCCTATGTTCCTCCTCTATAGTCCTTTTGAGTCCAACCCCTGCTGGGTGCTTGATGCTATCTATTTCTCCTTTCAGCTTATGAGTTACAGAACTGCCCGGACCCACCGGCATTCCAGAATGGGTTCATGATCAACTCGGATTACAGCGTGGGCCAGTCAATCTCCTTTGAGTGCTATCCTGGCTACATCTTGCTAGGCCACCCTGTGCTCACCTGCCAGCATGGCACTGACAGAAACTGGAACTACCCTTTCCCACGGTGTGATGGTAGGTTCCTCATCTCCCTTGGGGACAACTGAGCTTCTCACAAGGAACATAGTCTAGGATCTATTCAGTGAATATGTAGTACTTCATTATTTCAGCCAGCAAATACGTATCACGGATACTCTACTAAATATTTCAGAAAGATAGCACACAGTAGCAATTTAAAGAACATATAGACTTTATGCTTAAGGAAATCATAAACACAACAAAGTATTAAATACAAACATTAAAATCTCAGCTGCAGACACAAGAGCCTGTCAATCATCACAGGCCCTAAAAAAGAAAATGGGAGGTAATAAGGCTCCTTCACCTTCACAGGGGTTACAAGAGACAGTGATGATAATGGATTTAATCCTGGTAAGTCTTCTTTTATTAATAGTTACTGGTTGTGTTGCTATGATAAATTTCCTGACAAAAGCAACTTAAAGAAGGAAAGGTTTACTCTGACTGGAACTTGAAGGCATCTTCCTTCCATGAGAAATTCATGGTGGCCAGAACAGGAAGCATCTGGTCATGAGGCATCTAGGCAGGAAACAGAGATGAGGAAATGCTGGTACTCAGTTCTCTTTCTCCTTTTCAAACACGCCAGGATCCCAGCTTATAGGGTGATACTGGAATATTTGGGGTCAGTCTTTCTACTACTCTAATGTAGAAGACCCCCTCACGGTGCACTCAGAGGCTGTTTCTATGCTGGATTGAAATCTCCCCTACTTGACCTGGAGATTAATCATCACACTGTTGTTTGTTCAACTCCTATAGTAATTTCACTCTGCATTTGTGTCCCAGAAAATAAATTGTTCATGTTCTTGAATGGCTTAGCTCATGGTGTTTGCTGATCAGAGACAAAACGTTTGAAGTAGGAGAAACGGCATTAGCAGAAACACACAGTAGGAATTTTTCCAAAAAACTGAAGCCTAACTTTGAGGGTTGTTGTGGAGTTGTTAGGGTCAGTGCCTACACCCTGGAAGCACTATGGACCTACTCTTGGCTGCCTATTCTCAGTAGCTCAACTAAAGACGCAAGTAATTGTGACACTAAGTTATGGCCACATACAACCACTGCGGCCATCCTTGAGCTCCTAACATGAGACTTAGGTGTAGGCAGAAAGGGAAGAAGTGTAAATAATTAAGTAGTCCTTGTCACAGTTCAGTCCTGGCCACCACTGAACAATCATGACTTTTCCTTTTCCTGGACTTTTGCCTGGAGAAATTACAATTTCTTGGCCCTGCATTATTTCAGGAGGCTGAGAACCACAAGGAGGGACACAATCCTGTCTTCAGCATACCTCCATCAGCCAGCCAGGGTAGTCACAAGGTAACCCTGCTTCCTAGGAGCTGCTGGCATCAGGGTGCTGATGAGTGTGTTGAGTGTCCTCTAGGCTCACAGCTGGCTCTGCCTCTGAGCAGACATTATACTGCCCTGCTTCTCTGGGGGCTTCCTGACTTTCAGGATGACTTAAGCATCTCTGGAATGCCAAGCTAAAACAAACTGATGATGTGGATCATCTAGGAGGAGGGACCTGCAACAAGGTTACTGCAAAGCCTGGATCCTGCATTGCAGATGCAGCACCTTCGAATGAATAATAATGAAACCTCCACTGTCCTTTGAAATGCTAAGCACCTCTATCTATTGCAGGGGAAGAGAAGGTACCTAGCAATGAATTTGTACAGAAGCAGAAATAAATAAATAAATAAATAAATAAATAAATAAATAAATAAATAAATGTGGTGTCCTTTTAAATCTTATCTCACCTCTATTTTCTATTCTGATAACCTTAAAAATAACTATAAAGGTAAGAAGCCTCTTGGCTGTAGTTAAAAATTCAGATACTTAATTACATATGAAATAGCTTCTGGAAGTCTGAGGGTTTTGTTTGTTTGTTTCTCATTAAGGTATTTTAAGTAGTATTCCCATCTACTTTCTATTTGAAAACTCTTGTTTATGGGTCAGGGTGCAGTTCAGTGCAAAAGAAACTGAACATGAGAAGACTATGTATTGAGCCCCATCTTCACCAAAATGAACCAAAAGAGCTGCCATAATATCATCCCCTCAGATTGGCAGCTCTCAATTACTTTGGAATTATCAGGATTTCACACTGTTTTGATTTCTAGTCTCAACTAGGAGCCTTTCAATCCCCACATAAGAGGTCAACTTCTTGGCTTTACATTAATATTAATGGGGAGTTAACTCTTTTGTTCTCTATGCTTGGTTTTTCTAAGATGGAGAAAGCCACTGAGTAGAATTAAGAGTCTGCACTGTTTGGTGTAGTTTAAATGTGATACCATCTCTATTGGCTTCCTCTTTAAATTTTAAAATATTTTGTGCATATCTGTGTATATCTGGGTGTAGTGTATATGTGCATGTATGTGCTTGAAGGAGGTTAGAGGTCAGCATTAGTTGTTTTCCTCTCAACTTCACTTTATTCAACGTTAGCTTTTGAAACAAGGTCTTTAACTGAGCCCAGAATACACTGATAAGCTAGACTGGCTGGCAGGTCAGTGAACTCTCGGGGTCTCTCTGTCCCTCTTAATACTGAGGTCACACAAAGCTATTTCCATGGGTTCTGGGGAATCCAAATTTATCAGTGCAGCATATGACTGGAAATAGATATTGAAATTATTCAAGGAAGTCATGTGGCTCTCTAGAATCAATGCAAGATAATATATTGACTGCCTGTTTTGGGAAATCCATCCAGTTCCATTCCCAAGGATTTCTGATGTAGCTATGTGCATAGCCATGACTGACCTGGGCAATTCACTGCATGATTATGCTGAGTCTCCTGGCTTGTCCTTCTGGACCAGGTTGTCTCCACACTATTCACTTGGGAGAGGCTGCTGCATGTTTCTGAGCTGTCTCCAAAGATTTCTAGCTCTCTGGGCAAATCCCTCACCAAGCAAGGTTGTAGTGCACACCTTGACCTTCTGGCTAAGATCAAATGCAGTATTCTGTGTTCACTCCTAGCAATAATGCCACAAAATTTAAAATATCCTGAATCATAACAGTGTTGCAAAATTATATCATAACTATTGAATTCAATTAGGAGGACTACAGAGGCTTTTCTAAGAAGTATTCACTATAGGTTTAGCATCCTCTCTATATTGGATTAAGTTTTTAATAATTAGCATACAATTTTAATACAAAACTCATTTTACCTGTGAAATACTAAAACTAGAGTCCTTGTTTGCTAAGGATTGTATACTATGGTGATGCCACTCACTCTCTGTTCAAAGCTGTAGGATTGCCCTGAGCAGAGAACACAGCATCCTGAAACCCTACCCCTCTCTTAGCATGTCCTTTATTATCCACAGTCTAACCCCTACAGCCATGCCCCAATTCTGGGCTGGGCAGAAGTGCTCTCCTTGGTTTTACAGGGCTTTGAACACTGTCTTCAGGGGTCTAATCCTGTGAGGCTCAAAACCCTTAAGAAGAAAAATATAGGTTCTTGGAAAAACATCTGGGTATCTACACTAGAAACTGTCCAGTTCAGATCAGTCATATTGAATAATGTTAGACTTGAATGGAACCACTCTTACCAGTGTGCTAATAAAGAAGTTCATATTAATATGCTGAAAATATTTAGAAGTTAAGCTATTTAAAACTCTGTCAAATAAAATTAGTATCTTTTTAGTTTACATAAGGAAAAACTGTAATCAAAGGACATAACCAACTAATATATAAAAAATATGTCTTAATAAGAACCTGAAGGAATTTCTGTCTGGTTTTCTATTACTGTTTTTGGCCTCGCAATATGTTCCATGACACTCTTATGAAGACAACAATAGAGTTTGGTTTTCTCTATCCACTTTTACCTGGGTTTTGGGTAATGAACTCAAGTTGTTAGATTACATATGTGCCTCTACTTCCTGAGAAGTTTTGCATTTTCTCTCCTCCCTCCTTTTCTTCCCCCCTCTCTTCCTTCTCTCCCCATCTCTTCCTTCCTTCCTCCTTTCCTACTTTCCTTCCTTTCCTTTTTCTCTCTTCCCAATTAATCCAGGCTGCCTGCAAACTCCATGTGTTCTCCTGCCTCTGCCTTCTCAATTCTGAGATTGCAGACACACATACCATCCCTAACTCAAAGAATGATTGTTTTATTACCACTAACATAATTGCACAGAAATCAATTCAAGAACATTTACAATTGTCAATATATACTTTAAAACTACAATTTATTAAATTAAATATAACTTCATATTAAAGGTACATTTGTAGTTATAAATATAGTTCAAATTCACAGGTATCTTAAAATGTATTATTCTTTTTATGTGTATGGGTGTTCTAGCCACATATATCTGTACAACACCTGTGTATCCAATGGGAAATGACCTTACATGTTGAGTGGTCACAATATAAAAATGATAGGATCATCTTGAAAAGCAAAAGGTCACAAGGGAAATTGAACCATGTCAATGTGAAGCAACAGCCATGAATACATAAGGATGCTAGTGCAGATAATCCCTACAGCATAGCCAGTGCTGTGCCATCTATGGGCTGGCAGCTCCTTACCGCCCATTGAGAACAGGTCTCCCAACAAAGACTAGTAGAGGGACACTGTTGGGCCCAAAAAGGGGTGCAGTCTCTGTCTTCCAATATCCAACAGAATGATGAGGAAGATCCTGGAACCACCCCACAGATGAGCCAACATGAGCCCTTGGCAAGTTGGTAGTAACAATAACTTGGATTAAAATCCAAGTCCATTCAGATAGCTAGATGGGAGGAAAACAGACTTTCCTTGTAGAAAAGAGTTCAGTACAGAGGTTTGGAGGGGAGGGAACTCCATTCTCAAGGACAGTAAGCGGCTGGTGAGGATAGTGTGTGGTGAGGCCATTCATAGATCCCAGCTGTCAGCTGGCTCCACCCCTCACCCACTGCTGGTCAGAAGTGAGCTTAGGAGAGATGTTTGTCCTGCTACATTTCAAATCCAGACTTGTCTGACTCCATAACCTACCTAATCATTCCACTGTCAAATTTCTAGAAAGCTCTACATAACCCTTTCTCTTCTCAGGTGATCTACAGTTGAGTCATTTTAGTCTCTGATCTTTTATTGAAACCAGCATGTGACTATAATGTCTCAGGCACAAGGTATCTCATAACTTTGAGTCTACCATTCCCCTTTCTCTTCTCTTCTCTTCTCTTCTCTTCTCTTCTCTT